CTGCCTGGAAGGTGGGATCCAGGCTGGGGCAGTGCCTTCCCTGGGGGCTCTTAGGGCAGGTGGTAGAGCAAAACAGTTCCTCTGTAAATAGGCACTTTGAGAGGTGAGGAATCCCAGGGATGTAGATTTTATTTTATTATTTTTTAAAATCCCAACCTTTCCATATTTCTCCTGTCCCTTCAGTCAGGGCGGGGAACAGGGACTACTCTTTTTTTGTGCCAGTTTGATTTTATTTTTTTTTTTCCCTGAGCACTTTATTTTTACAGCAACAGACAAACCTCAGCTCAGGTTAGAGAGCGTGGAGATCCCTCCTCACCTCAGCCTTGTGGGGAGGGTGGGCAGAGCCTGAGGTGTGGAGTGTGCTGGGGCCCACAGCTCTCTCTCAGTGGGATCCCCATCTGTGGGCATGGCTCCTGCAGTGCCTCAGCTCTGTTTGCAGCTGAGCAGGCCCTGGAGCTGGGCACTGGGAGGGTTTGCTGACCCTTGGTCCACGCTTTCAGTGGTGACACTTCTTTATCCCCATCCAACGCACAACCCAATGCTTGGCTTTCCGAAGCTTTACAGAACTGAGGTGTGTGGGGAGCAAACAGGCTCTGCCATCATGAGGGGCTGAGCTGGTCCCCTTTGGGTGGGATGGGGTTTCCCCAGGGGTCACCACATGCTGCCCACACACCACAAGGATACATCATCACCTTGTTTACAGTGCCTGAGCTGGCCCTGGCACGCTCCACCTGCGTCTGCAGGCTGATACTGAATGTCAGATCACACACAAAAACTCCACAATATTTCTGTTTTTAACCCTTCCTCTCCTGCCTGCACTCCCTCTGCATCCTCAGCTTCTGCCCAGCTCCTCTCCTCCTGTAGGATGCAGCTCCCTGGCTCCTCTCCCTGTGCTCCTGTTGCTTCTTTTGTCGTGGTTGGTGCATGCCTGGTGGGCATGGTCCTGTGGCACTGCTGCTTTCCTTTCTCTCAGAGCCCAGCTTCCTCCCTAGAGAGTTTCCTCACCTTTCTACTGGATTTCTACTTTTTTAAGACAAGGGAGCAAATGCATCCTTCACAGGACAGGTCAAGCTCCTGCCTGCTAACAGCATCTCCCAAATGCCAGCTCTCTCTGGAGAGCCTTCATCCCTCATCCCACTGCAGCCATGTCTCCCTGGGGGTGGGCAGAGGCTGCTGGTGGTGGGAAAGGAGGCTGAGTACAGCATCAGTGGGCTGTGTTCCCATCTGTGGTGGAGGGTGAGGTTTGCAGTTATTTTTGGTGTTTGAACGGGTTCTGTGAGGGGAAGGCTGTGTGGAGCAGGGTCCCTGCAGCCTGCCTCTCCCTTGGTGCTGCTTGTGTCTGCACTGCGCCCCTTTGCTGGCAGCTCTGGGTGCCACATGCTGTGCCCACGGCTGGGTGTGGGGTGGGTCTGTGCCACGTCTCTGCCCCTTTCCAGCCCCTCTTTGCTCCCTGCATCTCTTGGGGCTCACCTCATCCCACCCAAGGCTGTGCTGGGGAAGGTTTTGGCTTGGTCAGGAGCAGAGCAAAGCTTTAACTCAAATCCTCCCTCTGGAGGGCGCCATGGGGATAGAGAGGAAGCACCCAGGGCTGGGAAGGGACTCCAGGGCATGACACAAGCGGGACAAGTGCAATATTCATGTCCATCTCTGTGTGCTGACCCCAGCGTGGCCCTTGGGGTTGGGTTTGAGTCAGAAACCCAGAACTGTCAAGCAGAGGAGGGAGTGCTGTGAGCAGCAGGGGATCTGTGATGCTTCTCATTGCCCTGCTGGTAGTGCACTCAAAGAAGGCTGGCCACATTTTAGGGCCAGCTGTGTGCCAAGGCATGTCCCCAGCCTGGCACTCACTTTGCAAGCAGCAGTGCAGATCTCATTTCCAAGGGGACTGGGATATCACAGAAGCATTAAATGGGTTTTGCAGCTCTTCCCTTTTAATGGGGTGAGCAGGGCTGTTTGAAGATGGTGACACATGTGGTGTGAGAGGCTCTGCTGAGCCAGGGGTCAATGGTGGACAGGAAAACTTGACACTTGTGTATTGTAGGCTGCTCAGTAACCAAGAAACTTGTCTGTGTAAATATAGCAATGGTCACGTCCATGTCTTGTGCCTATGGATATTGTCAGTGTACAGCACAGGTGCCTGCCCAGCAGGAGAGCTGGTGCTGCACCTGAATCATGTATCTTACTTAATCAATAAATATGATCTATTTTTTATGTGTAAAGGCTTTGGGGGTGTGAAGTGTGGATATTTCTTCCAAAAGAAGTTAGCAGGAGATGTAGAGCCCAGCAGGCAGCCAGGATCCCATCCTGTGCTGCTCCCACCCCCACACAGCACACACGATTTCCCCTCCCAGTGAGTGTTTCAGCTTTGCTGCTTGGAAAATTTAATTTTTCTTTTGACCTCATTTGTGCAAGTAGGTTGTGGGCAGAGCTTCTGAGCTTGTAGGGCTGAGCTTTTCTCTGCCTCACCAAAGTTGGGCTTTGGTTTCTCATCTCCATATTTATGCCAAAAGTGGGGCTGCAGCTGAAAAAAAGAGCTTGGCATGTGAAAAAAGATGGGGGATGCTGAGCTGCTGCAGATCCGCCCTAGAGATCAAAGGAGCAAAAGTCAGCCCACACTGGGAGACTGCCAGCACTGCTGCAGCTCAGCTTATCCTCACTGCTGAATAATTCATGCCCTTGCAGTGTGTCATTATGGAGCTGTTGGGAAATCAGTGCTATAAAAAGTTCATCTTTAGAAATCTGGCAGATTTTTTTTTCTTAAACTAGGAGGCTTTTGCAGGCTGATGGGGACTGTGGATCTGAGGTCACCTGAATGACAGGGCAGGAGGGGTGGCTGAGCACAGGCACTCCTTGTGCTTCAGGTATTTCTGACTGGAGAGTCACCATGGTGGGATCCACAGCCATCCTTTCTTAGGGGTGAGCACTGCAGGGCTGTCCCCATCCCATAAAATGGCTTTACTGAGGCTGCTCCTTCCCAGGTATTACTTAGAGGAGCTTCATTACAAGCTGCCTTTGCCCTTCCCTGTGTTGTGACCACTGGCCAAAGCAACCCCGGGGCATTAAAAAATCTAAAGGAAAATATCACTGTTATTTGTGCTGCTTCTGCTGCTGGGAAGAACAATTTGTGTTTTCCCTATGGGTAAAAGTGGTGCCTGTTGCTGAGACACCTCAAAATTAAATGTCCTCAAAGTACAGAAATGCATTATTTTAGGATCAGAGCAATTTACCAAACAGAATAAAACCACCTAGATAAAAGAGGTCTAATCTAGGCAGGGACTGCTTTCTGCTGAGCAGAACTGGTGAATAAGTTTTATGGAAGTGCGTGAGACCTTTGAGAGATAAAACAAGTGGTGTTTTTTTGGGATGAAAAATCAAAGGCTTCAATTTGGGTCCTTTCAAGCCCTTTACTCCTGAGCTAAGAGATACCATGAGGAGGCTCATGGTTTCCCAAAGCAAGACAGGGTACTGTGGGTCTGTCTGTCTCATCCCTGTGGCACACAGAGGATCCTCAAAAAGGTGTTTAACTTGCTGTGTTGGTACTTCCCTGAAAGCTTTTGGTGCCCAAACTAAGCTGTTGTTCCCTTGGCTGAAGCTAGGCAAGGATGTCCTCATAATTTACAAGAGAATCTCTGGGATACTGAATAAAATCATAATAGTAAAAAAATCCAAACTCTTTTAATACTTTCCAAAAATTCAACAACAAAAAAAATTACATCAAACAACCAACCAAAGCAAACCTCTCACAAAGAAACAATACATGTCCAAGCACAAGGACAAACAGGCAAACCCATGCTCAGTAGCCTCAGTGCCCCTCTCTGGTCAGAGATTCCAGGCAGTGCTGGCCAGTCTTTCTGGGATACAGCACGGGGTGTGCAGCTGCATCAGTGTGGGACTGTGACAGCCATGGGGACAAGGCTGTGCACACAATCCTCGGGGCAGGGTCCCCCTTATTTGTGTGCACACAGCCCAGCTGGGCAGCCTGCTTTGAGTCTGTGGGCGGTTCCTGCTGTAAGAAACCTTGTTGCTTGGTTTTTCTACACAAATTTTTTTTTCTTTTTTTTTTTTTTTCCTTGGACTTCTGTTAGTGATGTGCTGGTGGGACCAGCTGCATTCCCTCTTCTCTCTCCCAGTGTCAGGGAGCAGACATGAAGAGGGTTTGCATCAGCTGATCCATTCCACGAACAAACTGTTGGCTTGATGCAAGCCCTTGGAGCCAGAGCTGGGAGCAGGGAGCCTCTGTACCCCACAAGGGGCACTGCCAGGCTGTGCACTGCTAATCCTTCCACACCTTTCTCCTCCATGACTGCTGCCATACCTGCAGTGCTTGCCCTCCTCCTCCTCATCCTCCCCGTGGCCAGGAAGCCTGGCGTGGGAGGAGGCAGCATGGTGCTGGAGGCAGTCCCCTCGGTGAGGAGGCAGGTTAGTCACTGGCATCCCAGGAGCATCCTCCATGTCCCAGCAGTGCCTGCAGCATCTCCCCTCCATCTGCAGCAGGAGCACCGTGGACGGCAGCGAGGGGAAAGATCCAGCCAAAAATACAACCCAGCCATGCAGGGGGGGACGCTGCAAGCTGACAGGGACACACACAAGCCTCCCTTCAGCAGCATGTGCCAGCCCCCTGCCCTCTGTTCTGTGTGGAAACTTCTCATCCCAGGAGCAAGCCCCGCTAGAACATCACCTCCTCGCAGCTCCCATAGTCACTCTCCACCATGTCAGAGCCCTCGTAGTTGGGGGGTGGCAGGGGCTGGGCTCGGATGCTGGGCTGGTGGCCCAGCTCGCAGTCGGCATAGGA